CAGACAGCAAACTGTGCTGGAACGGGGCCGCCAGGAAGGAACCAGAAGTTGAGAGATTTGGGGCAAGAGTGAACGGTGCACAAAAATACTATTTCCAATTCCTGGACTCTTCCTTTACCTGGAATTTGTATACATTTTATTTTAAAAAAGAGAAATATTAGTACATGACTGATTCCTAGCAATTCAGAATGGAGAAAAATACAGTTCTTAATAAAGAGGAATAAATTTTGTTTCCCTGTCAATGCAAGCTACTGTCCTCTTTTTTACATTTGGGAAGAGCTGAGCAGAGAGAGGGTCATTATTTTCTGTCAGAAGTTGGTGAATTGTTAGGACAAACTGACGAACACGAAGATCTGGATACAGGAAACAACACTGTACTCTGCCGCTGCTGTGTTTTTCGGGCACTACTGTCTTCGTTGGATTACGTGGCTATACTGATAGAATGATTGCAATATGAAAAGGTGCATCTTAGTCCTAAAATGACCAGAAGAATTTGATTCCTTCATCTTCCCCATTCCTATAAATGTGACTAATTGTGGTGAAGCAGGTTCAGGACCCGTTGAATGAAATGGAGCATAGTGGCCCACAAGAATAAGAGGTCCTGTCTCTCTGTGTAAACAAGGATTAAATGCGGGTTTTAACTACAAGATGGCTTTATTGCTCCTATTTGTTTTATGGATTCTTTACCACCCGCTGCTTAATTAAACTGAAAACACAAGCCTGGCTTTATCATTACTCAGCCTGTGAGCAATTATTAGGTGTCACTGAACCAGCTCTTCTTGTGGTTTGACAGAACTTCACTTTGGGGCTAGGATAACAATTGCTTATTGGATTTGGCTTGGCTATCCTGAAATCAATGTGTGCTGTCAGATCCTGAACATCACACTTCTGCGCAATATATGGAACATAAAATATAGGTTCAATAGGCCTGCTTTGTTATTGCATTTCATCAGTGTTATAAACATACACCAGGGCAAAACCAGAGTGTCACACAGTTGAATCAGCCTCCTTGTGCCCCGTGGAAATACCCGGCTCTTTGCAAAACTCTTTCCACAGAAAGCTTTCTACACGATAGCATCGTGTTTCTCCTTACTGGCACTCTTTAACCCTTCCTCCTGTGACTAACATCCAGCAATAGAGGAGTTCTGTGGTAACATTGGCCCTTGTGGTACACTTTTCCCTTCTTTCTTTTTCTGTCCTTTTTCAAGGGTTTGGGTCTGTGTGGCTTTATTTTTTTATTAATTCCATGCTGAAAGCAATTTCAGCTCATTCAGTGGGGTCACTGAAATCTTTGCTTGGTGCTTTAAGGTTCATCCTCCTCTCCTAGCATTTTCCACCCAGGAAGCCAGGACCTGAGATCCCTCCTGTGTTTAATTTATTGAGCCTTTCAGATTAGCTCACCACTGTGCGTATGTGTGACAGAACAAAGGAAACTGCACATGAGCTTCGTGATTGCTGCTTACCTGACAAGACTGGTTTTCAACTTTTCTGTAAGAACAACAGATTCAGCTTAAGTGAAAACATTTTATTCTTGTAAACTTCTCTACAGACACTGAGAAAAAGAGCAAACAAGCCAGAAAGCCTTGAGAGTTAAAAAGGTATTGGGAACACAGTATTTCTGCTACGAGAGTTTCCAGGTAACAGGCAACCTGGGCTTGTTGAGCTTTTTCTGAGACAGGCAGGCAGGTTGCTGAGTCAGTGCTCATTCAATGTCCTTCAAGAATGAATTAAAAATGGTGGAGAATATGCCTTGCTTCCTTAGTAGGATGTTGGGGTTTTTTTCCTGAAACTGTTTTGAGTAGCTTTGGCCGGAGGAAGTGGAGACAACGGCCATCATCACATAAAAGCAAGACTCCTTCCTCCAGAACAAAAACCACAGGTACATGGGTCAAAACAGCTGCCGGAGGTCTGTTTCAAACACATGAGCTTTTAATAGGCAGACTGAGAATAATTGCAGAAGGCTTGTACCAGACCACCTGGAAGCAAGCTTCAGCTGATTACCAGTAATGATAAAGCACCTCTGCCTAACCTTTCTTGTTACAGGAATTTTACACAGCTTGATTTAATCCGGGCTGAGATAACAAGCCTCATATACGAGGTTCTCAGGACACTTTGTTTGGCTGATTTTCCAAATAAGCTTCATACTTTTAATATTGTCATAAATGCACATTAATTACCCAGGAACCTTAGACGTATTTGGTAAAGCTGGTTGTCACAGCAGTTGTTGCTATGGTACGTGGTCTGTTTTGCATTTAGCTTTTTTGGTATGGTAATATTACAAAATAGTATAGTCACTGTGGGGAGAAGGGAAACAACCCACCAAGCCTCTTTCTTCCTAATATGGTGAATAAAAAGCCTCGGTTTGAGCTAGCTGAAGTGGGAATCAAAGCCCAAGGATCAGTCTGGTGTGGCACGTGAAGAGCACAAGGGTCACGGTCAAGATTCACACTGGGAGGGCAGGAAATGTTTTGATTCCCTCACCATGACTAAATGATGGGAGGCAGAGATGCTATCAGGGAAAAAGCCCTCTTCTCATCCCAGCACGTGTTTGATTCCAGACCGGTAAGAGCATTCCTTCCTACGATTGCTGGTGTGGGGACTTCTTTTTCACAAAGGTTTACTCTAGGCAGGGGTATGAATTGCTCGGTGGGCTGCAGCATGGGGGTCTCGGGCAGAGCCCTGAGCTAACGAGGAGGCTGGTGAGGGACAGGCTGCAGCAGGAGGGTGGGCATCTCTGCCTATACAGTGCCTCGGGAGAAGGGGCCCCAAGCCCTGGTAGAGTGCCAGGAAGTTTTGCCTTTTTCCTTATTAGTGTTCACGATCCCCTTTTAGACAAAAGAGCGCAACTTTTCACAGCAGTAAGCAATTGGCCGGTGGGAGCTGTTTCCCCCATCCTCACCAGCTCCCAGCTGGAGATGAGGTTTTCTGGCTCCTTCTCAGGGGTTCTGCTTCTGCTGGTTAATACTCTGCTCAGGGATGCTTGATAATTCATGATCTTTAAGTTCTGTGAGATTTGATTTTTTTTTTTCCTTGCTGATGCTGATGCAGGGAAGAGAGATAGGTGAAGCCATGAAAAAACAGAGGCCAACACGTCCAGATACATAATTATAGTAATGATGATTTATCAGGTACCCCAGCCATCGGAGGCTTTGCGAACAACTGAAAACTTGCATCTTCCCCAAGGGAGAGCTACATGGAAAGCACTCCAATGGCTTTAACCACACTTGTGTCACAAATTCTTCTCAGGTTCAGTGACTGTTGTTTGTTCTAATTAAAACAAAATCAGTTTCAGCTCTGTGTTTAAGAGCAAACATCCATTTGCCGTTTATGAGGAAAATAAGGCTAGAAACACCAAAGATAGCACTTCCTGGATGACATGTATCTCCACAGCACCACAGTACTGTTTCTGCTGCTGAAACATTGTCACCCCTCAGAAAGCTTTGGTGGTTTGGCAGCTGAATCATCCATATTACACCTCCCTGTATTCAAGAAGAGGCAAAGGTCTGAGCTTTGCCCTTTTAAAGCACTGAAAACATCCACAGCTGGGTTTGTTGTGCTCCACGGTTTCCACCACAGCTCCCCGACCTGGGGCTCAGAGCTGACCCAGAGGGAATGGCCTGGGACCACCGGGACGAGGCGAGGAGGCTCCCGGGGCAAGGAGCCAGCCCTGCGCTGGCCAGGGAGGAGCCAGCAGCCCCGAGGGGAAGAAGAGAAGCATATCCAGTTGGCTTTACTAAGTAATGTATTGTTTATATATCCACTACTAAAACTTTGACAAGGAGGGAAATACTGAAAAGGAAGTATCTTGTATTTTTTTTTAGTGGAGTAAAAGTGATGCCTGTGGTTTTAAAACAAAGGCCTTTTGGCAGGATGGTGCCATAAAGAAAAGGAAGAGAAAGGGAAGCTGCGTTTGAGTTCATTCAGATAAGTGAAGGCCAGAAGACCTTATGCCAGAATTTTCCATTAATTCCTGTAGTCTGTCTCTCTGCCATAATTATGTTACCTCCTGACTCCTTTGTACAAATATTGTTGTGGTTATTATTACTGTTTACTGTAACTACACTTACAAAAGCTGCTTACAGTATTGCAGCCGTAATAATGGAAAAAGAGCAAAGTCAGACAAGACTTCCGTGGTGGGTGTTTTATAAGATTTTGAATGAACTTGTATAACTGTCTTCAGCTGCAAGAACTTACAGTGGGAAAAGACAAGAACAAAGGAGTAAGGAACAAACTTCTTTGTTCTGATTCAATCACTATATTCAAAGGTTGGACTCAATGATCCCAGAGGTCTCTTCCAACCAAATCAATTCTGTGATTCTGCGATTCTGTAACTTGAAATTTGATTTTTAGTGAATCATAATTTTTTATGAACTTGTAATCAAAACCTTCTGTTTGAGCTAAAACATACTATTTAATTTCAAAGACAAATTTTCTTAAGATTTCTTTTATTTTAATTTAATTTAAGAAAAAAGGAATTATTTTTTAAAAGGTTTTCAAATAAAAGGTAATTATTCTTCTGAATTAAAACATTTCAGTTTTTAATTCTTTTCTGGAGCCAAGATGAGTTTGTAAAATATTTCAAGGTTCCCAAGTCTGATTATTTTTTTCCAAAGAAGTTTGCACTGAAGCATTTTAGCCAGTAAGCAAAACAGGAAGGAGCAGAAAGAGAAACTGCAGCACAAAGAAGTTGAAGTATTTTTCTAGTGTCTCATTAGATGGATACCAGTGTTAGAAATAGAAATTGCATGTCCTCAGTCCCCCTCGAGGGTGTAAAACACTAAAGGACATTAAAGAGAGAAATTATTAGATGCAAAGTAGTTTTCCAACTGTAACTGTTGTGACCAACAGAGATCATGAAGACCACGAGAACTGTGGCTCCAACATCTTGTTCCCTGCTCCGGGTACAGTCACAGGCAAAGCCCTGGTTGTGTGCTCTGTCTGCATGGGAGAAGTTAGCACGAAAGAAAGATATTTTTATCTTCATTGTTCTTTCTTTTCAGAAAGTCTCTCCCTCGTTGTCGAAGAATTAACAGGATGCTTTCCAATGAGTCGGCACCTCCTCCTGCATTCAGTCGCTCCAACTCGCAGGCCTCCATGGACAGCACCTCCATGGAGGACTTCTGGTGCGAAGTGGAGAGCATCAAGGAGAGCAGTGAAGACAGATCTGAAGAAGCAACACTCTCAGAGTTCAAACCTGCTGATGGTGAGCACACAAACACCACTACTTCCTCACGCCTTTGCTTTGCCTCAGCTCTTTAGTCATGCCCGGCTCGTGTCACCGAGCAAAAGTACTAGGCTGAGTCTGTGAACATTATAGCTCCACTTCTGAACATCACAGCCAATGTATGAGGTGTCACTGGAAAGAAACAATAATTCAGTCTGGTTTATGCACTGGGGCTGGTAATTGACATCTGAAGTAAGTTTTTTTGCGTTGATTTTATTTGTGCTTCAGGAGGACAGATATGATGTAATTCAGAAAAGAGAGGCACTAAATGAAAACTTCATCTCCAGCACTAAACAAACTAAACCAAAGCATATAAAAGAACCAAAAAATTCATTTAGTATACTGGAATTTTCAGTTTTCTGGCTTTTGGTAGGATATAACACAGAAGTTCTGAAAGTCTTGGAGCAGTTTTTAGTTAGATATTATTGGCTGCTATCTGAAATTTGATAACCGCCTGTTTCTCTGAGATTGCCCAATTTAGATATAATTCAAGGACCGATTAGAGATAAGTCTGAATATATGGATGCCTACAACATTCAGAGTCTCCGCTTGTCAAAATTCATCCATCACTTATACAAATTATGCTGAAGGTATTACTACCTCATTCTGTTACCTTAACGTTTTCCCCTCTCCTTTTTTGTAAGGTATTTGGAAAAACATGTAATAGTCTGCACCACCTTGTTGCAGTGCAGGTTTGTGTTAGATGATTTGATAACATCTAGAACAGGAGATCTCATTTTTTTCAGTTATGACCCCACTTACAAATGCGTTATATTGCACAACACAAAATACCAGGTGTTACTACAGGATGAAATCAAATTTCTTCTGAGGTCATGACCCACTGATAACTGCTGCAACCTTTTTGTGGCTCATGGCCGCTAGTCTGGTAAGTACTGATCTAGGGATAGATTTTGAGTCAATGGTGTGTTCTTTCCATACAATTATTAACATGAATGACGATGTATTTTTCTTACTTTGACGTGCGATGGGATGTCATTAATTCTTCTACCAGGAAAAAGGGGGAAAAAGTACTACTTTATTAAGCAACCAAATATGTAATTGGTCATGATAAGTATCCCACACAGAGATATCTAGCTCCGACCATGTACTGTTTCCAAGGGGAACACCTCCCACTCACTAGTTCCCAGTAGGGCTCTCCTGGAAGCAAAAGGAGAAGACCTCTGTTCACCAGAACTCTTGGTCTGCTATGAGGGTTGTGGTCTGGCAACTTAAATCCAAACTGTACTTCTTCGTGCTGGCCTGTGGTCTCAAATATAAATAGATCAAGGTGTAACATTGAAACTTTATGGTTATTGCTGTGGGAAGGCAGGAAAGCAATCTGCCTCAATCAGTTTGACCTTATTGGGAAAATTCCTGTCTGATCACGCTCTCTAGCTTGGCGACCACAGTGAACCTCTCAGTGTCTCCTTCATGCAATTTCGGCGTGAACTGGGTGTCCCTGACTTGTCTGCATGGTCAGGGGAATGTCACATATCTGTGAGTTACCAAGCTGGGTAAGTTAGTAAGACAAGGCAACACAGGAGCCCATTTTCCATGTTCTCAGAAACTTTTCCAACAGTTTCATCACTGCTAAGCTAAATCTTCACAACAGTGCAAACTCTAGTGCAGTCCCATGTTATCCTTTGTCTGATTACACCTCATTACATTGCATTGATTTTTTTTCCACTCTGTCCTAAATTAAAAATGAGACTGCAAGGTAAAATGCAATACTTGTCCACATTTCATTTACCTTCATACTGTTGTTTTAAACACATATGTATTGCATACACCCCCACACAAGCAGGCAGTGCTTGTCCTAGTTATTAACTTCGGGAATATATTCAGTCTGGGATTATAAATCTCGGAAATGAAAGTGAGTTCTATTAAGCTCCTAATAGGATAATACTCCTTGCCGAGGCTCAAAACACTGAAGATCAATGTGGAAGTCCTCAGGGCAAAATAAAAACAAATATTCATCACCCTTTTGAGATGCCTTTGAGAGGAAGAGATGCAGAATCCTTAAGAAGGAAGCCAAAGGGTGATAGCAGCCAGGCACTGCTGATATTGTCGAAACCACAACACTGTTTTTTGCCAGACCACATCTGCAAGGGGAAGACATCAGCACACTTACTCTATTGATGTTAGTAACTACAGTCAAGAAAGAACAGAAGATCATAAGAAGCGAGGAAGACATAACAAGAGGAAGTCATGGGGTATTTCAGATGGCAGCGATGTGCAGAACTGCTTTAAAATTTGGTTTTACAAGGCTGGGATGCTGTGAGTTATTTGAGGTTATATCTGAAATTCAAAGAAAGGTACACCTCTTTCCTAGCAATCTCTGTGATAAAAAGAGAATTATGAACCAGAGGGAACCCTCTCGATTATCTGTTTGTCTTCTGGTGGAGCAGAATCAAATACAGTATCCAGACTCTGCTGTCTAAGTATCTACCACTGTAAAAATAACGTTTTGTAAAACAGCATGTTTTTCTTTTAGCCTTTATTTAAACCTATCTGTCATAAAATTTTGAGGGTTTTTTTAATGCAGAAATTCCTTTTCTTTAACAGTTTTACTTCTCTGGTTGTTGTCATTATTTCTTAGTCTATTGTTTGTGAGTGGTTGGAGCAGGAAAAGGGCAAAAGCCAAAGAAAACAAGTCACAGGAGTGGCTGGTAAGCAGGCAGAATTTCATCTCTGCTTTACTATTTTTCATAGCATCACAAAAGCCAAGTTTGATCAAAAACTCAATTCTTGGAAAGAATATGTCAGGACAAAAGCCAAAATTAATATAATTAAGAAACTGAAGCATGAATGGATGTGGCTAGAACAGTGGCACACAGAAATGAAAAGAGACCTTGTAAGAAAGAAGAGTGAGGACGGTAGAAGCACCATTGGTTCAAAGCTTACAAAGAAGGGAAAGGAACAGCCTGTCATCCTGTCTGTGGATACAGAAAGGATCGGAGCAGAGACAAGCTGTTTCACAGTATACAAGGCTGGTCACACCCCTGTCTAACACACAGCAGGGGTTTTAGAAGCAGATATTTTTGTAGAGCTTTGTAAAGAGACAAAGCATTCAACAGTGAAGTCAGTGATGCCACATATGTAAGATGCTTTCACTTATCCCTGTGGTCCAGTCCTGTAATTTTCTTTTTTGTGTATCTTACTGCCAAAGGGCAGCAAACTGGTATCTATCAATCTGCCTGCATTCTGATGTCGAGAAGAGGCAATAAGGGGAGAGTGGAAATACCAACCTGCCATTAAGACCAGTGCTGGGACAAGAACAATAAGTGCATTGACTAGTTGTTTTACAGAACATGCTGCAAATTAATCCGTTTCCTGTTGGACATGTTTATTTGTAGTACCTCTTCTTCAGTCAAAGCTGGAATGCAATTATTTTCTTGTCTCAAGCAGCATATTGTTGAGCTATGATTGCTCACAGAACTAAAATGAAAGACCTCAAAATCTCTTATGTGAAGAGAGATTTTAAAAGACTATGAATGTTTACTTTAAAAAGCAGACAATTAAAAAAGCAATGACAGTAAAATTTAAAATTACAAAATTATTTAAAGGCGGACAGGTAGCAAGCTGAAGCCCTGCATTGGTTTTGCATGGCAAGGTTTTGGTAGTGGGGGGGGCTGCAGGTGTGGCTCAGTGAGAACATGCCAGAAGCTTCCTCCATGTCCGACAGAGCCAGGAGAGAAAATGCTTTTTCACACAGTGCATAATCTCACTATGGAACTGGCTGCAGTGTTGAACCAGTTGAGAAACAGATATTGAACAGGATTGAAGAAGATTAGTCACTAATCAAGATTATCAAGAAACACTGGGGTGTAGAGTGCTAGCCAGTCTTTAATTATTAGAAATCAGGATGATACGTAGCATGCAAGGATAGCTGTTTCTGCATCTTCCACCCCTCCCTGA